CAGACGCAGCACCCCGAGCAGCACCACCCCCAGCAGCACCAGAGTCACCAGTGACCTCGACAGGCCCAACCAAGGGGAGTGGTTTTACCTAAGACACACCTGAAGGAGCAAGACCCTGAGGGGGGAGGGGGTCTACCGGAGGGGGACCTGGAGCGAGGAAGAGCAGCAGAGGGGGGAGAGAGGCGACGTCGTCAAACGTGACGTCGTGAGAGGACAGGACAAGGCGCGAGGTGGGGTGGTAAAATCGCCAGCCAGACGCGTCAGTGGGGAAGCCAAGGAGGACACAGGGAATGGCACGGGAGAAGAGCTTGTCCGCGGAGGTATTATGGACAAAGGCACGAGAGCCCCAGACCCGGAACACTGGCGCATCGCCAACCTCCCCAGTCCAACGTAGTGTAGGCGAGATCTCCAGCAAAGAGACACGGGGCAAGAGGTTGAGCTCATGCGCAACGTACCATACCGCAAACGGCCACAGAAAATGGGGAGCAACCGCATGGATCATGGAGGTACGAGCCACCTCCATGGCTAAGCCAATGTGCTGAGCAATCCCATTCTGCTGCGGGGAGGCCGGAAGTGTGAACGACTGGAGGACGCCCTCCCTACAACAAAAGTCCCGCAAGAGGTCAGAGGAGAACTCACCACCTCTGTCAGAGCAGACGTAGGATAGGAAAGTCCGTGCGGAACTGCTCATAGAGCTGGAGACGGACAGCACGGATCCAAGGGACCTCCCCCTTGCTGCGCAAGGGGAAGACCATGGTGTAACGCGTGTAGTCGTCAACAACCAGCAGAAAGTACCGCTCGCGGCCCTGTCCCTAGACGCGGGCTGGGCCCCACACGTCCATGTGGAGAGCCTGAAGGGGGGCAGTCGTCGGGGGAAACGAGGAGGAGTGAGGAGCGGCAGGCCGGGGCAGGCGAGGGCGGAAGGGGAGGCAGAGACCTGGGAAGACCAGAGTCAATGAGATGGGAGTGCATGCCACGGAGGTGTGGCAACGAGTGGTGACCAAGGCGGTGGTGCAAGAGGAGAGTCTGGTGCAAGAGGAGGCGACACGAATAAGTGGCTGATAGCTGACCTGACGCAGACACCTGACCAGATGCATCGACCTGAGTAGGCTCAGTAGTCAGTGTGTACAGGCTCGACCCAGGCCGACGGGTGAACGTGGCCAGGTGACGGCCCGTCCGTGCACACGTGCAGATCGCCACATGCTGTCCTCCAGGGGTAAAGGTATCAACACTCACCAAGTTCGTAGAGAACGAGGGGAGGTGAAGACCTGTCAGTGAGCCAGACGGAACCGCCGGACACGGGAGAACAGTGGAGGAACGTGCAAGAACTGGGCCCCCGGAGGGGTCAGCCAGAGAGACTGCAACAGGTGCAGGGAGTGGTGTGACTGTGGTACTGTCGCGAAAGAAGCAGCGGGAAGCACCTGAGTCAAGCGTGAAGGTGTGCAAGGCTTCAGCAGGCGCAGTATCAGAGAGAGCAGACTCACTAGCACCTAGAGCAGCAGCCTCTATACCAGGGTCGGGCGGCACACACAGATAACAGTCACCCTCGATACTAACAGTCAAAGCATACATGGCAGTAAGGATAGCGTCATAGTCTAGAGCAAATATATCCACGTTGTTCTGAAGCAGCTCTGGCAGCGAGGGAGCTCAGCCTCGTCGCCAAACTCTGCGCGCCAGGCGTCGCTCAGACAGGAGAAGCAGCGGGACTGTGTGTGGCCGACTGTCCTGCAGGTCTGACCAGCCCGATCACATGTGCGAATGATGTACAGGAAGCGAACATTACTCCGAGACGCCCCACGCTGAGCGTACCACTCACGAAGCTACTGGGACGTAAGGGTCTCGCGCAGACACTTCTGCAGCTGCATCTGGCCACCGCCAGAATCTCCCCACTGAACAGCTCCACTACGACTGCCACTACGGCCGCCGCCACCACTCCCACTGCTGCCACCACCGCCGCCACCACTCCCACCGCTACCACGAAGAGAAGTCATAGCGGGCAAAGCAAGGAAGCATGCGATCAGCAGGGCAGCACGCAGGGAAGGCAGGGCGGCGAGTAGGCACTAGGGTAGGGTGCAGGGTATGGCGGGGCGGTGCACGGCCAGGGAAGGGCGGTGCGCGGCCAGAGTAGGGCGGCGCGCGGGCAGGGGAGGGCGGCGCGCAGGCAGCAGGTAAGGTAGCACGCGGCCAGCAGGGCGGCGCGCGGGTAGGGCAGGGCATGCGGAGGCGGTGCGACGGAGGGCAGGGCGTGCGCGGGCGGCGCGACACAGGGCAGGGCACAACGTGCGCGGGCAGCGAGACGCAGGGTAGGGCGTGCGAGGGGCGGCGCGACGCGGGGCAGGGCAGGGCGTGCGTAGGAAGCGCGACACAGGGCAGGGCGTGCACGGGGCAGCACGACGGGGGGCAGGGCAGGGCGTGCGCGGGCAGCGCGACACAGGGCAGGGCAGGGCAGCGCGGTAGCCAGCAGGGCGTCGTGCGAGCACGGGAACGCGACTGGTGGGGCAGCGCGACGGACAGGGTAGGGTGCTACGGGTAGGGTAAAGTGCTACGGGATCTGAACGGTGGGCCCTAAAAAAAACAACAGTCCTGGAATAGGACCTGCTCTGAAACCATGTCAGAAGACTAAGCGAGAGAGTGATGCATTGAACAAAGATGTGGGTACAAATGCTAACCCTAATTTGGGTTGTACCCCTTGTGGGCTACCCCAGTACAGCCTACACAGCAGAAACAGCATTATAGTTTGACAAAATCAAGCAATATACGGCATAAGATGAAAGGCTACTTAAAAGAAAGGCCTGACTGAACAAGGCCAACCTGCGAACGGAATTTATGGTGGTCACAAGGCAGGAGGGCCTTGGTGATTTGTCCGCAATGTTGCTCACTAAGGCTACAAAGCAGAAGCGTGCCTGGCCGTCTCGCTGCAGCTCTTGCAGAAGGAAGTCTCACGATAATCAATAGCTAGGGTGAGGTGAGTAGTATGATTTAGGTGAGGCATGAGAGTAGCGCGAGAATTTTGGCCAAGGAAAGGGAGAGGTACAAATAGAACAAGAACAATGCAATGATTGGTACACCACCAACAAGAAACAAGATAACTACACTACAGCTACAACTAAATGCACTTATACGGAGATATTGTCAGAAAATAGAGACATAAGTAGTAGTTAGGTTTAGGGCCTAGGCTTAGTAGCCTAGGCCAAGGGGGGGTCGAGAGAGTTGTGGCCAAGAGAGAGGAGGATGAGAATGGTGCAATATGAGAAACAAGTACAAGTTATAGTTCAGGAAGGGTGCACCACCAAGCAAGAACAAATGTATGACTACACTACAGCTAGAACTACATGCAGTTATATATAATTCTGACATCCCCCCGTAACTGCATGCAGGAATAGCTAAGTGAAAGACACAACCTGCAGGGGTACACCACAGACAGTGAAAAAATAGTAACAGCAGGCAAGGGCAGATGCAAGTTCACACAATTAAGACAAGTGGCAGCACTAGAGGGGCAGTGAGGAGGAGGAGTTGGGAGGCGGCAGGTGAGGTTGCTGGCTTCACGGCGGCTGCCTCCTGGAACCTCCCCCATGCTCCCAAACCCCTTGTGCACACTCCTCAACGTCCCTAGTGCCACTCCCCGGGCGCCCCACACCCTCACACCCTCCCCCCCAGCGGCAGCTGCAGCAGTGAGAGAGAAAGGAGGAGGAGGGGAAGGGGGTCACACATACCCATCACCCCCAAACCCGCCACCTCCATACCCTCCCCCCCACGGCTGCACTCACAGCAGGGAGACGAAGGAGGGGGGGGGGGGGGGGGGAGAGAGGGGAAGAAGCCGTCCCACGGCTACAGAGGGGCGGCGCGCAGGGAAGAGCAGGGGCGGCGTCACCGAGGGCAGGCGCCGTCGCGGGCGCCAGGGGCGGGTCCGCGGCGGCTCAGGGCACCGTCGCGGGCGCCAGGGGCGGGTCCGCGGCGGCTCAGGGCACCGTCGCGGGCGCCAGGGGCGGGTCCGCGGCGGCTCAGGGCACCGTCGCGGGCGCCAGGGGAGGGTCTGCGACGGGCAGAAAAAGCGTTAAGCGCCACCCGGGCGCGGGACAGAACGAAAATCGCCACGCGCCCGTGGCGCGCGACCGAAAAACAGCAGCGGAAGCGTGAGGCGGGCCCACAGGCCAGGACTTAAGAGGCTCTGATACCATGTCAGAAAATAGAGACATAAGTAGTAGTTAGGTTTAGGGCCTAGGCTTAGTAGCCTAGGGCAAGGGGGAGTCGAGAGAGTTGTGGCCAAGAGAGAGGAGGATGAGAATGGTGCAATATGAGAAACAAGTACAAGTTATAGTTCAGGAAGGGTGCACCACCAAGCAAGAACAAATGTATGACTACACTACAGCTAGAACTACATGCAGTTATATATAATTCTGACAGATATAAGTACCATATATGTTTTGACAGTACCGCAGCTCGATGTGTGTCACTCTACTTTCCAGACAAGGCTCTCGACACAAGAGGATCATGGCAGAGCTAGGCCGCTCGCCTAAGTCAGTGAGCAAGAATGTTAGCTAAAGGAGCTCCTGAGCAGAACAACCATGGTACTGGCGCAAATCTTTGCCGCATCACTAGAATGGACATCATCAGGTACATGAGGCAACCTACAAGCTCTAATATCATAAACTTGTCCAAGCGGAATGAGAATGAATTAGCATTTAGGACATACTACAATATCCCAACCCTAACCTAGGCTAACCACAAAGAAATGAAACACTGATCGCATATGTTCAACATAACGGTGCGATTGACTAGTGCTACGTGTTGACAGTTACGTCACGATTCATCAGATTTTATGAACAGGGAAGCAAGACCCTTCAAACCAACTAGTACATTTTCTGGTTATTGCATAAGAAAAATGGTTTCAAAGACTGCAGCAACATCAGTCAGTGCCAGTGGCATGCAGCTACACGGCCCTGGCACATGCTCACGGCCGCTCACACGTAGCGCATGCTGTGCAGTGCAGACAGCATGGTTCAGCCGTGCACGGCATACTTAACATCGCACAGCCGCATCATCGCCTGCACCGCATGCCTCCTCACCTCAGCATGCACCATCCTGCCCCGCGCCTGCATGAGCCGTGCTGCCCTCTGCATGACTGCCAGCGCGCCTGCCTCTGCAGCCGTGTGCCTCAGCCACGGCACCCTCACCACGTTGCTCACCACCTCCACCGCTGCCGCTCCCTTCCCACCTCTGCCCAGCACAGTGCCTTCAGTGCCCTCAGCGCCCACCTCAGGGTGGCGCTGCCAAGGGTGGCGGGCAATGGCTTGCAGCAGGGCAGGCAGCAGGCCGGCATGCACCACGTGGGAGCAGGCCGTCCAATCGGAGGACAGCAGAGCCAGCAGGTGCAGGCAGCGCCGCCACAGCAGGCTCTGCTCGCGCCGGCCCTCCTCCCTCAGTGCATCCACTTCCTCTGCCCTCCATGCCCCTTGCTTCTCCGACCCACCCTGCTCTGCCCCTGCCTGTGATGCTGATGCAGCTGCTGCTGCCGCTCCCTCCCCTCCACACGCATCTTCCAGCCCTCGCCCATTCCCCCGTATGTTCCCCCCAAACCTCTCTTCCCCTTCCACTGACGTATCCTTGCCCCTCTCCCTGCACACAGCCACAGCAGCGCTCTTGCATCCCTCACACCCCACCCCCTCCTCTTCCTCGGCCTTCCGCTTTGCCCCACCCTGCCGCTTCATTACTTGCCCATTCTCTCCGCGCTCTCCCTCACGTACGGCCACCACACTGCACCTCGCACCACAGCTCCTGACACCATGCTCGTCCTCCACGCACCGTTGTCCCTTGCCACCATCGCCCCTGCCAATCGCTGCATCCAACATGATACACCCACCACCACCTCTCTCTGAACCTCCTTCCCTACCCTCCCTACCCTCCCTGCCCTCCATCCCCTCCCTCTCCTCCCTCTCCTCCCTCTTACCCCTCCCTGCCCTCCCTGCCCTCCCTGCCCTCCCTCTCCTCCCTCTCCTCCCTATCCCCCCACCATGCGGGCAGCCAGGCCAGGCAGTGCGGGCTGCCGTGTGGGCACCGCACACCTTCTCCCTCCCGCTCAACCCCCTGTGCTGCTGCCACCACCGCCGCCGAGTTTACTGCAATTGCGCCATCAGCACCATCAGAGCCATCGATGCGGGATTCAACAGCCTTCCTCTCCTCATCCACTCCACCTGCCCACCATCGCCCATGAATCCCCCGCCCCCCCACCCCCCCCATCTCCATATCCACCGCATCCTCTCCAGAACCCCGCCTGTCATCAACAGCAGCAGACGCACAGTGCTCGCCCGCGCCACTCCCCTCCCCTGCCATGCCCCTGCCCTCCCCCTCACTCAGATCCGCACCCCCTCGCTCACTCTCCTCTCCACTCTTGCCATTGCCCTCTCGGTCATTCACACCCCCCTCTTGGTCATTCACACCCCCCTCTTGCCCTCACCCTCCTTACTCTCGTCCTCACTATCTCCCTCCATCTCCTCATGCTCCTCATTTTCCTCATCGCTCTCCTCACTCTCCTCACTCTCACTCTCTCCCTCGCCCTCTCTACTCTCACTCTCCTCACTCTCGCTCTCCTCAGTACCTTCATCCTCACTACCGCTCTCACTCGCCCATGCCCCATGGCCCAGGCCCCCCTCAAACAGAGTCTGCAGCAGCCTCAGCTGCACCTGTGAACGCCCAGCCTCCCCGCGCTGCCCTCCCCACCCCTCCTCTTCTCCCCCCTCCTCGCCCTCCCCATCCGTTTCCCCAGCTTCCTCTCCTCCCCACTCCTCCTCCTCCTCCTCCTCCTCATCCTCCTCCTCATCCTCCTCCTCCTCACTCTCCTCCTCCCCCTCCTCCCCCTCATCCATGTCAGTGTCACTCCCACTCTCCCCATCATCAGAGCCCATGGCAGCAAGCCTACCTATATCACCATGCCCATCCACATGCCCATGCACATGCCCGTCAATATGCATCTGCCACAGCTGCCACAGAGGCGTCTCGTCCTCTTCGCTCTCCTCACTCTCCTCACTCCACCCATCCCCACCCTCTGCAATCTCACCCTCCTCTCTTTCTTCATCATCGTTCTCCTGCTCATCCTCCTCCACCGTATCCTCCTCGCCCTTCACTGCCATCATCAACGCTCCCCAGTCTCCCCCACTCTCATCACCACCAGCCCCCACTGTCTCCCTTTCCCCCTCCCCCACTCTCCCCTCATCGCCACTCTTCCCCTCCTCACCCCGCTCCTCCTCATCACTCTCACGCCTCCCTCTGTAAGTCCCCCATCCCACTGCCCCGCTCCCATGCACCTCCTCGCCATTCTGCTGTTCGCCATGCAGCCGCTCACTGCCCTCTCGCTGTGTCACGGCCATCACGGCGCTCACAGCGTGCACGGCCCCGCCTGCCACAGCAGCCTGCAGCCCGGTTGCAGTGCCCGCCACCTCACACAGCACCTCCACCACTGCCGCCTGCTGCTGCACCACCCGCACTTCCCCCCTCCACCACTGCCGCTCCTGCTCCTGCTGCTCGTGCGTGCCCTGCCGATGCTCCTTCTCCCTCTCCCCATCCCCTCCTGTGCGCTGCCCTTGTTGCAGCCCCTGCATCCATCCTGCCCGCTCCACCCGCCCCACCGTGCTTCTCAGCGCCCGCACCACCTCCCCCACCACTGCCCTTGCGCCCTCCCCCTCACCATCACCCCCCTCCTCGCGCTCCTGCTTGCCATGCCCACAGCGCGCCAGCAGCAGCAGCACCTCGCGCGCCACCTGCTGCCTGCGCGTGTTGAGTGAGTGCAGCAGCGCGGAGGGGGGCGAGGGGGGAGGACAGGGTGGAAGAACGTGGGTCAAAGGGGAGAGGGGAGGAGGTAGGAAGGGAGCAGGGGGTGGGAGGGTGGAGTGAGAGGGGGGGTTACAGGGAAGGGCAGCAGCGGCGCGGAGCAGCATGGTGAGGAGGAGAGGGGTGGCGTCGGCGGGCAGGAGGGGGAGCGGCGGGTCGGTGTGGCAGGCCAGCAGACCCACGGCTGTCGCTGCTGTGAGCTGTGCCAGTAGCATGCGAGGCAGGTGGGAGGGGGGCGGGGCGCGATGGGCAGAATGGAGAGCAGGAGTGGAGGAAGGAAGAGTGACTGACGGCTGCTGAGGCGAGGTGGCTCTGCTGTCCTTCCCCCTCCTCGCCCTCTTCTCCCCCATCCCCCCATCACTCCACTCGCCCTCTCCACCTCGCTCCTCGTCCCCCCAACCCCCTTCTCCCCCCTTCTCACCGGCTCCTCCCCTTCCCACTCCAAGCAACTCCTCCTCCCCATCCTCCCTCACCCGCCCCTCCCCCGCCCCAGGGCTCCTCTCCCCCGCCCCAGGGCTCCTCTCCCCCGCCCCAGGCTCCTCTCCCCCGCCAGGGCATCCCCCAGCAGCGCCAGCAGCGCGTGCACGCCCCCCGCCTGCACCATGCCCCTCCGCGCCCTCCGCTGCCCCCCCATGCCCGCCAGCGCGTGTGCTCCCCACACCCTCACCGCTGCCACCGCACCGTGAGAGGACTGAAGGGGTGGACGCACGGCGGCACAGGCAGGCACGCAGGAGCATGTGCACATGCAGTCAGCGGTGCACTCGCTGCTGCCCCCGCCATCCCGGTCATGCACGCCATCCCCCCCCTCTGCGCCTCCCCCTCCACCCCTTGCACACCCCCCTGTCTGCACAGGCAGCTTTCTTGTTCCCTCTGTTCCCTCTCCTGCTCCCTCTGCTGCTTCCCTCTCGCCATCCCGCACTCTCCCTCCCCCTTCTCCACTGCCCCCACTGCCTGCACCTCCTTTACCTTCACCCCCACCACCGCCACCCCCACCACCAACAGCCCCAACGGCGGCGACGAGCAGGGCGAGGGAGGGCGGGGAGGAGGCGAGGAGCATGAGGTCGAGGGAGCGCGCTGCCAGACACAGCAGCAGCGCCGCTGCCCGCTGCTGCCACGACAGACGGCACACAGGCTGCGGTGAGAGGCAGCACACACGCGAGCGCTGGCCGCCACAGGGGGTGGGCTGTGCTGCGTTTACCCCCGCTGCTCGCTCCCCTCGCCCTGTGCTCTCCCCTCGCCCTGTGCTCTCCCCTCGCCCTGTGCTCTCCCCTCGCCCTGTGCTCTCCCCTCGCCCTGTGCTCTCCCCTCGCCCTGTGCTCTCCCCTCGCTCTGTGCTCTCCCCCCCTGCACCCACCCCCCTCACTCCACCCTCGCCTCCGGGCGTGCCCACCCGCCCTCCGCTGTCACCGCCGACACCACCATTGCTGGCAGCGGCATTGGGCGTGGGTGGGGCATGGGCGGCAGCAGTGGCGTGGGCGAGCCACAGGCGCACGGGGGGGAGGTCCGTGACGGCGGAGAGGCGCGGTGAGGACGAGGCGGCAAGGCGCACGAGGATGGCCGCGGAGAGGCCTGCTTCCCCGCCTGCCCTGCTTCCCCGCCTGCCCTGCTTCTCCTCCTGCGCTCGCCCTGCTTCCCCGCCTGCCCCACCCTCTTGCTGGCTCCCCTCCTCCTCTTTCCCCCCTCTCACCCCCTCTCCCCTCGCCCTCGCCTCTGTTCTGCCTGCCAAACCCCTCATGCCCGTGCCCATGCCTCCCACCGTCCCCCCCAGCGCCCCCCCCTGCGCCCCCCCCCAGCGCGCGCCCCCAGTGGAAGCAGCCGCGGCCGCGAGTGACGCCGTGGGCGACGGCAGCGAGCAGCAGGGCGAGGGCGCGCGCTGCCTGCAGGCGCGCGGAGGGGCAGGGGGAGCGCAGCAGCAGGGGGAGCAGGCGCTGGAAGGGCGCGCGCAGGGGCAGCACGACGTGGGCGGGGAGGAGATGGCGCTGGGCGGGGGATGGGGAGTGCGGGGCGGAAGCAAAGGAGTGGCGTTGTTGAGATGGTGAGTGTGGAGGGGTAGGGGAGTGGCGCAGGGAGCGGCAGAGGAGGAGGAGCAGCGAGGCAGCAGCACACTCGATGGCAGCCAGCGCAGCGGGGAAGCGCCCACTCACCTTCTCCCACTCCCGTTCTCCGCCCTCTCCGCCCTCCCCGCCCTCTCCGCCATTCCCCCAGCACTCCCCGCACGCCAGTAGCGCACCCCAATCGCCGCTGTCAGCCACGGCAACCGCCCTCGCCATCACGCGCACTGTGCCCTCCTCCATCCCTCCCCGCTCCCCCACATCCGCTAGTCCGCCATCGGCCTTCCCCCCATCCGCTAGTCCGCCATCGGCCTTCCCCCCATCCGCTAGTCCGCCATCGGCCTTCCCCCCAACCGCTAGTCCCGTCTCCCCTTCCGCCACTGTACGTCGTGCGCCCGTCCGCCTGATGTCACCCGCCGTGCCACCAGTCGTCCGCGCGTCTTCCCCGCTGCGCGCACAACCCAATGCTCCCTTCCTCCTCTCCCCCTTCACGCCGCGCCGAGTCTTCTTCCTGCCTTTCCCAACTTTCCCTCCCCCTCTCTCCCCTTCCCCGCTCTCCCCTTCCCCGCCCTGCCCGTGCCCGCTCTGCCCTTCCCCGCGCCGTCCGCCGTCCAGTCGCGAGTAAGCGGCGCGAAGGTCGTCCATGCGATCGCACAGCAGGCTCGCTGCATCTTCCAGCCAATCGCTTGCCCCCACGTCTGCGCATCGCTGATGGTCAAGGAACACAAGTAGAGAGCGGACGGTGCGCAGCAGCGGGACGGCAGCGCGACGAGCGTGCGAGGCGCGGGCGGGTTTGGGATTCTGTCTCGCTTCGCCAGGAGAACGTTTCGCCGCCAATGGATCGGGCGGCATGGCGGGCGGCGATGACGTGCGCATGGCGACTGAGGCGCGGAGGACAACCGAAGCGCGATTGACGCGAACGCGGATTGTGCGATGCTTTCGGAGATTCACAACAACGCAAGATACGCCCCAGTCATCTAGCTGTTACAGTTTATATTTCGAAGCACAGACTACGGTACATAATAACCGTTTAAAAGGGGCTTCATTGCATTGTTTGTGCCAAGCGAGAGAATTGTGGCTAAAATGGGTGCTGATTAATATAGATGGCATAAAAATACAGCAATGTACATCCAAACAGTACATGCGGATGAGAGCAATGAATGCCAATAGTGAACGTTGCCCCGCCAGCCAGCAGACACCATATGTGTTGTGTACCCTCTCTTCCCCAGCATGGCAGGGGAGTGTGTTGCACAGGCATTTCAGAAGCACAGGTGCGGGAGGCAGCATGGCAGTGTGGCAGCATGAGGGGTGAGAGGCAGGGAAGGGAATGGTGGGGTCGGGCGGTCAGTGGAAGCCGATGATGCCTCTCTTCTCCCCCGTGCCCAGGCAGCGCGCACAGTAGCACCGCCCACTGCCCCTGCAGAACCAGCACCTGCCAGCCAGGGAGGGGGGAAGAGTTTGGGGGGAAGAGGGAGATAAGCACAGGCAGCGCGGGTATAGTAGCAGCAGTGCGGGTATGGCAGCAGAGAGCTGCCAGCACTGAATGATACCAGCACTACAGGTTTGCATGTGGATGAGTCTATAGATGAATGTGAGTAACCGTGATGCTACTCAGGTGACTCAAACGCAGTGGAGTGAAAAGGCAGAGTGTACAGTAATACGGTAGCAGTGGTGCTGTGAGTGCCTGCATGGGTGCGAGCTCGTGGCAAGTACTCCAAGAGAGCATACCAGCGCGGCCAGGAGCATACCAGCGCGGCCAGGAGCCAGTTGGGAGCATGACGAGATCAACGTGGTTGGTGCGCCCTGCCAGTCATGTGATGGGATGGGATGGACAGGCGGATGTGCAACATGCGTTACTCAAGGGGGCAGGCCAGTGCGTGACCAGATGCATTTGCGGCAGGGGAATGACAGTACTACACACAAAATAAATTAGACAAACTATGGAAAGGAACGAAAAACGGGCCTGGCGGAATGAAGCAAATGCTAAAAAAAGCCAACTGACCGCTGGGGATGTGTGGAATGGAAGGAAGAGACATTAAATAGCTCAGCAGGTGAGAAACTATTCTCGCGTAAGTAGCCAACCCCTTCAGCTTCACTTCATCCCATTCCACCCCCCTCCCTTCAATCCCACACATTCCCTTCCTTCCTACCCCCCCTCCCATTCTCTACTTTCTCATCTCTCCCCTATCTTTCCTCCTTTCTGCCCGCCGGCTCTCCTCATAGCCGTCCCCCACTCTCAGAAGTCTCTCTGTGAAAATAAAATTAAATTGGGACTGCACATCCCTTTCTCCTGCCCCACACCCATCCCTCATACACCCATCCCTCCTCCACGCCCCTCCCTCCTTCCCCGCACCCTTCCCTCTTCCCCCGTCCCGTCCCTGCCGGTCATCCCAATCGCCCCTAGATTCACTGCCCACCTCGTCTACCCCAAGTGCTGCAGCACTCCCTCGCCGTCCCATTCCTTGCCTTCCCTCGCCTCTTCCAAGAATCTCCCCAATCCACCCGCTCCTGCCCAATCCACCCGCTCCTGCCCAATCCACCTGCTCCTGCCCAATCCACCCGCTCCTGCCCAATCCACCCGCTCCTGCCCACACAACTGCCATACTACTGCTTCCCATCAATCTCCTTCCAATCGTATCCATGCTAACCTTCCCCCTCCCCTCCTCCTCCCATCTTCCCCACGCCCCCTGTCCACCACGCCTCCATCCCTCTCCACTTCCCCCTCACCCCCGCAGCACAGAGGCCCCACACAGCACACAGGGATGGGGTGTCCCGCTCGGCGCTCACCCGCCCTTGGCGCACTGCCGGGCAGGGGAGTGTCGAAGAGAATGGCCCGGTGCTGTCCAGCCCTCCCCTCCACTCCAACCCCCCACCCTTCATCCTTCCCCCTCTTCCCCGCTCCCCTCCCCACCTCCCTCCCTCCCCCCCAAGAACACGCACCTCGGCCGCAGCAGCGGGTGCACTCCACGCGCCCACTCCCCCTGCAGTCGGGGCAGGGCGGGTCCGGGCGCGGACACGTGGGGATGCCGCGCTGGGGGAGCGGGGAAAAAGGACGGGGGAGGGGAAGTAGAGGGGGGTGGAGGGGAGGGGAGGAGAAGCCAAGCGGAAAGGAATTTGTACGGAAAGGGGGTGGAGGTGAAAAGAGCAGTTTGGCGCGCAGTGAGGGCAGGAGGGGTGGGGCCAGCGCGATGGTGGGAGGGCTGGGGGGGCAGTACGAGATGGGGAGAGGAGGGGGAGGGCGGGCAAGGGAAGGGGGTAAGAGGGGGGAGAAGCGCGAGCAGAAGGGGGAGGCGAGGAAGGTGGCGGTGGGGATGACGTGGTCGCTGGGAAGGGGGAAGTGTAGCACGCACGAGGAATGGGCGATGGGGTGGAGAGGGAAGCGGGAAGGAGGATATGGGGCACTACGGGGGGAGGTAATGCGGTGGGGGAAGCAGGGAGAGGGGAGGGGAGAAGGAGGAAGCGGGCACGTTGGCGCGGAGAGGAGGGAGAATGCGATCGACTGCATCTGGGCTGGTCTTCACGTGCTTCCCGCGACCTTATTGCCTTCTCGCCCCACGTGCCATCCCATCTTCCTGGAACATTTTTCGCGTTGCACGGCGCACCGCTAGGCGTGCTGCTTGTTGGGCTCACCGGCGTGTCGACCATCCAGCGGCCGTCGCGGCGCCGGCGGCGGTCGTTGCTCCACG